TGGTCAAACTGTGAGCACCCTTGATCAACCTAAACTGTGATTGGTCAGACCAGGCAAGATGTGATAATTTAGTTTCTTAAATAACCGCTAGGTTTCACTAAATATGTGATATATTTTGACTGTTAGGTAAGTTTGTAAAAAAGTACATTTTAAAAATAATTAATTCTATCAGATCTACAATCTCTTTCTTACACAAGTATTCGTAAATAACGTCGGAGCGGCGGAATAGAAAAGTATCATTTTCTACCCTATGAGGAGCAGCCAAACCAGGCTCCTTATCAAAGCTAAACCACAGACCACGGGTTTTCCTACAGCTTCTTTACGCCCTTCTCTTACCTTCAGCTTGAATTTTAAGAATAAGGAGAGCGACATTTTCTTTGCAGCGTTGCTCGCATTCTGTGCACGGATCTGCTCAAATATAGATCCTTCTGTTACATCTGATGATCTCATTAGAACAATATCTTTCACATTTGTATAGAAAGCTTTATACCCTCCGCAAGGTATAGGCAGTGCATGACTTCCTTCCAGTTCGTAGAAGAGCTCGTTCTCCGAGGATGCAAAATAGTCCGGAGCTAGCAATCCTTGTACTTCTCTAATCTTCTTGTAGGTACAGCTGTCTGCCGGTTGGCTCCATGCTTAAGTGTGCAATGCTCCTACCCAACCCATGGACGGACCTCTAGGATTACAAGCCAGTAGCTCTGAAGACGACATTGCTCTTATTTCTGACCCTTCTACAGAAAACATCTCAGTTTCGATTGTCACTTGATACTCCGTATGAGTGACGATCCCTTTCTGGATCGATCCATCAATCAAAATGTCTGTGCCTTGGCACTTTATTTCGGAGTTTGAGGTGGTTTGGAATCCGGCAGAAAATTCCATGATATATGTTTGCCCCGGAACTACTAATGTCTCTGTTTTTCGTCCCTGGGGAGTTACAACCCACATAACCAACCGACGTCGACTAGACGTCAGAGCGACGTCGTCTTTGGTCGGATTTTTCGTACAAAAAATCCACCAAAATCTATCTGGTTTTTCGCAAAATTATGAGTTTTGAAAATTTTTAGAGTGAAGGGGAGTTTTACAAAAGTGCAGTGTTGGAACAGCTGTTAGCAGTTGGGAGTTAAGGACCCTCACCCCCGACTCATACCTGGATCAAGGGGTGTCCAATACAATTTGTAGATTTTTTAAAAAAATCGTAAAAAATTAAACAATTTTAAAACGGTATATAATAGATATTAAAGGAAAAATATTTTTTTTCATTCTAAGGGCCCCCCCTTAGATTGATAGGAAGGGATAGGGGGGGGACAGAGTGCCCAGCTAGCCAAATTGCGCAAAAAGCGCGCAATTTAAACGTTACTTTTGGCATTTTTACGTAAATTTTACGTCGACATTTTGGCTCTTTTTACGTCATGAAAGACGTAAAATCGCACACTTAGCTACGTAAATTTATTGGTTTTAGTAGACGTAAAATTTACGTAATAATATTATACAAATTTACGCCAAAAATGCGCATTTTAATTTTCTCAAGTACCAAAATTATTTATTGTTTAGGTTATAGACGGCACGTCTATGAGTTAAACATATTGAAGACGACATCTGGGATAGTCTCTCAGTTCAATGTATACCCTGTACTGTACTGTTACGCGTACACATCTCCACATGTTCCTTCCATCACTACCTCCCTATCTCTACCTGGTTTCTTATCATTCTTCTCTCTACTTCCTCAGCCTAACAACCTATAGTTATTTACAGGATAGTTACAGTTTATTTAATAACTTCTTTCTCGGTTTTCTTTTAACCTATTTAATTTATTTTCATTTCAGTTCACACAATCTCGTTAGTTATTATTCGAATTATTTAATAGCCTCCTTTCAATTTAACCTATTTAATTTCATGCTATTTCAGTTCACACACACCTGTTAGTTATTAATTTGAATTATTTTAATAGCTTCTTTTTCCGTTCTTTGTTCTATTTTAATTTCTTTCTATTTCAGTTTACACAATTCTTGTCAGTTATTAATTTAAATTATTTAATAGTTTCTTTTTCGTTCTTTAATCTACTTAATTTCATGCTATTTCAGTTTACACATTCTTATTAGTTATTAATTTAAATGATTTAATAGCTTCTTTTTCGTTTTTTAATCTACCCAATTTCTTTCTATTTCAGTTTACTCTTTCTTGTCAGTTATTAATTTAAATTATCTAATAGCTTCCTTTTCGATTTATAATCTACTTAATTTCACTCTATTCCAGTTTACACAGTCTTGCTATTATGAGTTTAAATTATTTAATAGCTTCTAACATTAGACAATTTATTATTCTTTTAATTAATTTACTCTTTCTTGTCAGTTATTAATTTAAATTATCTAATAGCTTCCTTTTCGATTTATAATCTACTCAATTTCATTCTATTCCAGTTTACACAGTCTTGCTATTATGAGTTTAAATTATTTAATAGCTTCTAACATCATTAGACAATTTATTATTCTTATAATTTTTCTTTACTTTCTTTTAGTACAGACTTTTAGTTAACCTTTTTCGCTACCTAGTTATTATCTTTTTATTCTTTGTGCAAAGATTCAGCTACTGTTGAATCCTCCAGTTTTCTTTATTTCTTTACTTACTCCTTGTATTGCTTGTTTTAATTAAATTTAGTTTCGGTAATTAACCAAAATACCTCCTAACCAAACCTTGGCCCTTAATTCCTTAATCATTAGCTATTCTACTTAAATTCTTGGCCCTTAGTTTACTTACCTAGAGTGTAACTAACTTTTTCTTTTCAGCTATGCCTGCTGGTGCCCCTGATAGAACCGTCATTAGCAGTTCTGCCTTTGATGACCCTGATGACCTTTCGGCTGAAGATTTTGCAGCTCTATCAGTCAACTCTGTAGCAGATTTTCCAACCATACTTCTCAGCAACATCAATTGGAACGGCGGCATAATTGGTTGCGTTTCTGTTTCTCTCAGCCCTGACAATTTGAGGATAGCATCAGCTGCCTTCCACCTTCTGGGTTCCCTTTGGTCTGACAAATCGTTTAATACAGCCACCTACTGGAACACTACTTCTCCTTCGCAGCTAGTTCTCTCTATTGCTGATCTCACTATATTCAGATTTCCACCAGGTTCCCTGTGCTCAGCCTATGTCAGCTCAGCAGACCTCGAGTTTGAATTTACCCAAGATAACTCCGCCATCCCAGCAGCCCTTATTTCTCAAGCGGGCCTCTCCGAGTTCTGCCTCCGGGCTTTCTGTTACCCAACCTCAGACTCTTACGCCAAGCTGGTTATTCTGTTGTTCCCTTGTTCCGAAACCCTACTAGCTCAGAACCCTCTCTACCTAGACCCTTACTTCCCGGGCCTACGACTGTACGACTCTGAGTTCTCGCTTTCCCCCCCTTCCTTACTCTCTCCGATTGCTCGCCCTTGGGGGTTTCCTCTAGCTGCAGCCGTTTTTCCTGGAGCTCACTGGGAAGAGGCTCCGGGCTTCCCTTCTGGTTTGAGAGTTAGAATTGCCCTCAGCAAACTATTCAGATCTGCTATCAAACCAGACGTAAAAGCCAACCTACTAACTTTACAACAAAGGATGGATTCTCTCTTGGACAGAGGTTCGAATGCTCTACAAGTTCGATTTCCTTTACTCCTCTGGCCAGAAGCCACTGCTGTACCTCCTACAGACCTTCCTACTCAAGGTTGGGTTTTATTTTTTGTTTATCTTACCTTTTTCAGCTTCTTGCTCTTTTCTCATATTGCAGCTTATTTGTTGTTTGCCTTTCTCTGTTAATAATTACCTTTAAACTCAGTTTATTTACTTTTACTTCCTAACTCAGTTTATTTACAATTTTCTTAAATAATAATTACTTTTAAACTCAGTTTATTTACTTCTTACTTCAATACTTAGTCCATTTACAATTTACCTTACATTGGGTATTGTTTATTGTTTACCTCTCTTAGTTTACCTACTACAATCGTTATTTATTACTTACTACTTATTTACCAATTATTATTCCATGTGCTGCTTTGTTTCTATCCTACCAAATTCTCAGTTTACCCTAGTTACTAATTTTTCTTATCCCTGATGGATAATTTGCTGACACAGTTTTTCATATCCCAGGTGGATAATGACACGCTCCAATTTTATCCCAGGTGGATAATGACACTCACTGATCTAATCCCAGGTGGATAAGGACAGTCACTGATTTATATCCCAGGTGGATAATCTGCTAACACAGTTTTACATATCCCTAGTAGCATATATAATTCTCACAGGTTGAATATCCCAGATGGATAATTTGCTAACACAGTTTTTTCATATCCCAGGTGGATAATTAACTCTCGCATAGTTTTTTTATATCCCAGGTGGATAATTGATTCTCACAGGTTTATATCCCAGGGCGGATAATCTGCTTACACAGTCTTCATATCCCAGGTGGATAATTGATTCTCACAGATTTATATCCCAGGTGGAGAACCTGCTTACTCAGTTTTCATGTCCCAGGCGGATATCCTACTCATACTTGCCTGATATCCCAGGTGGATATCATTTGCTTCTTACTCATTTACGGACGGATAAATTTCACGGGCTTATCCTAATTATATTCTTAATCATTCAGTATACCTGATCTCAGCTGCATAATTTCTAACACAGATTTCTCCTATCCCTGATGGATATTCAGCTCTCAGGTTTTTGTCCAGATGGATACAACAGTGTTTACAGTGTGGTTATTCTAGTCCTTTTTATTCTACTGGCAAAGTTGATCTCATTAAATCTGTTTGTACTTTTTGTACTTTTATCCTTCTAACCTATTACTCTTTCAGTTCCTATTATCCTGCCCTTTACACCAGACGAACACCCTGGCTCAACCAAATACGGCCCCTCTGGCCTATTCTCCCCCTCTTCACTTGCTCAACTTAATCTAGACCCCACCGTGGCAAATTCCTTAAGCTTGCTGGCCAACCATTCTTTGACCAAACAGACTTGGTCTTCTTATAGAACTGCATCTAGAATGCTAAATCTCTGTTTCAAAGATAAAGGGATCACCTTCCCTCTTACTGAACATCACATTGTGACCTTTGTTTGCTGGTTAAATAGCAGGAATCTTAGCGTCGCTACGATTAGTTCTTATCTATCTGGCCTTCGCCAGCTACACATAACCAAAGGTTTACCCGTCCCTAACATCAGGTCGGATCTCATTAATCAAATCCTCACAGGAAAGAAGAATGTAGACTTCATTTACCCTGTTGTCAAACCCACTCGAATCCCTATCACACCCACCATTCTCAGAATCCTGAAGACACAGATTAATAGCGATAACCTACCTTATCACGACAAGAGGCTCCTTTGGCTCATCTGTACCCTTGCTTTCCATGGCTCCTTTCGTATTGGAGAACTACTTACCAAGAGTCCCGTGTCTTTTGACCCTAGCTATACACTGCTCTGCGGGGACATTGGAGTAAATGTCACCTATATTGACAACGTACCTGTCAAGTTACTGGAGGTCACACTCAGGCACTCTAAGTGCTCTAAAAACAAATCTGTGGTCATTGACATCTATCCCACTAACAGTGACCTGTGCCCTGTACGGGCTTACTCCAAATGGTCTAATACCAGAGTTGGTTCTCCTAGGTTACCAGCTTTCAGACTGAGCTCTGGGAAATCTCTAACACCTTACAACTTTAATTCAAAGCTACGGGTTTGGCTCAAGGATTACATAGACTTTTCTGTATGCTCCGTCACCGGACACTCCTTCAGAGCTGGGATCCCTTCAATCCTGGCCACCATGGGGTTCCCAGACAAAGATATTCAAGCTGCCGGCAGATGGTCCAGCAGGGCCTTTGAACTTTATTGTAAACTTCCCAGGACCAAGCGGATTGCCATGTCAAGAGCCCTTGGCAATCTCCACCTCTAGTTCTTCAACCACTTTACAACATCTTTAGTTGATTAAAACACTTTTAACTACTACTAAATTAACTTGTTTATCTAATGCTGTTATAACTATGTCCAATCATTGACATATTTAACAATTTCTACCTTTATATTTTACAGGGTTTTTACAACCTGAGCGTTTCAGTGGGACAGATTCGGATAATCTTTCCGGCATTCACACTGATGCTCCTAATCTCAGATCCCAGCTACAGAGTGAAATAGGTAATTCATATTTTTACTCCGAACCATAAATAATACTTAAATTATAACTACTCCTCAGTTGGAATTTTTTCACTTACAATGCCTTACATAATTAACCAATTTATAATTAGCTACTACTACAGGTCGGTTTGTACGTGCTCCGGGCAGTAACCCTAGTAACCCTGTTGTACAGAACCCCGCTAACTCTATCAGGCTGGTCCATGCGGATACTAATTCTGACTCGTCAGTTGTGACTCATCCGACAACCCGGAAAAGGTACTATCTCAACTAATTTCTAAATCTTATCATAATCTCATTACGATGCCCCTGATTGCTTTGCAATTTATTACTGTTCAGGAAATCTAAATCTTCCTCTGTTCCTCATACCAGGAAGAAGAAAAAGAAATCTAAGAAATCTAAGAAATCAAAGAAGGCAACTGTCAGTTCCTCTGGTTCTTCTTCTTCTGATAGTTCCTCGTCCTCAGACTCTGATGAAGATGATGACAACCCTGGAAGCAACTGGAACGTCATGCATTCTCTCTGGCCAGCTGAGAAAAGACCTCTAGCCCTACAAGATAAAGCCAGGTTTAACTCTATGTCCCTTGAAAATATCATGGCACTGGCCCAGTTTGATCGTGAGAATGCCAAATCCGTCGAGAGTGACCTCTCTTCTTCTTTTACCAGGGACAAAAAACCTCCTCTCGTCAAATTCAAAAAAGAAAAGGATGACGGGTTCAAACTTCTCCACTCTGCCAGGTTTCAAAGGTACCCCTTGGGAGATATCAAAGACTGGTACAAAAAGGTTCCCAGAGTCCGCAGCCATCAGTACAAGAGCCTTCCCCTTCAGTACAGCGGCTCTAATAACAAAGTGACTCAGCGCACTATCCAGCAGCTACATGACCGTACCAAGTGCCTCTCATTCAAGCACTTCCACTCTGGAAATATAAACGTAAGCTCCAAACCTATACAGAAAATTGAGAAAAGGGATGAAAATGGTGTGTTTTCCTCTCTTGATTTTAATTGGGAGGCTCCTGTTAACCTAGCCCAAGTTGCTGATGCTCTCCTGAATTATGCCACCATACTACTTCATATATGGCCTTATGATCAAACAGGCCTCATCATTCTCAGGGTAATTAACAAATACAACTACTTCTCCTGTGCCAACTCCTTGACCGAAAGAGTGTCCCTGGTCTCGTCTTTTTTCAACACTGTTCTGCGAGAGAATGCCACCAGAGCTGGACGGAAGTCAGCTCCGATGAGTTTCTCTGAACAAGAAGAAACTTTGAAATCAATCCTCACCTCTTCCGGCTTTAGCACTGCTGTCCCCACCGGAAGGAACCCTAGACCTGAGTCAGAGAAGTTTAAGTTCAACCCCGCTCCTAGGCCTCAGTTCTCCAACTCCAACATCAACTCAAACCCGAACCGCAACAAGGTTGTCATGGTCGGCTCTAACCCAATATGCTTTAACTACAATAATGGCTTCTGTAGGAATGCTGGCACTGCTACAGGTTGCAAAGATATGAAGAACAAACAGTACGTGCATCAATGCAACAAGTGGTTAGACGCCAAACAATCTTACTGTTTTGCTAAACACTCGCGCTCAGCTTTTCACCCCTAATAATATTTTCTTGATCCTAATCATGGTTTACTAATTAATCACTTTCCTAACTAATTATTATGTCTTACGTTTATAACTATAGTTTACTAATTATTTTTCCTACAACTTATACAGGCCATTCATCCTTTACTGTTCCTAAACTTACAATTTCTGTTGATCCGCTGCTAAACCCGACATTTACTGTTTAATCACTTTCCTAACTAATTATTCTGTCTTACGTTTATAATTATAGTTTACTAATTATTTTTTCCTACAACTTATACAGGCCATTCATCCTTAACTGTTCCTAACTTACAATTTCTGTTGATCCCGAATTAGTTATAGTTCTTACTTCCAGACAAAATATTAATCCTGGCTGTTTAATTATATAATCATATGCTGGTTCAAGTTTGTTAATAAATATATTTGTTTTTTAATCATGCTTGTTACTTACTTATTTATCTTCTTTCTAAAGCTTATCGTGTAATGCTGTTCAGACTTGTACGGATCTATATAGCTTTTAGTTCTAATTAAACTTAAGAATACTCAATCCATCCTAACTGTTTGATTATATAATCATATACTGATTAAAGTTTTTAATAAATATATCTGTTTTTTAATTATGCTTGTTATTTACTTATTTATCTCCTTTCTATAGCTCATAGTGTAATGCTGTTCACACTGTAATGCTGTTCAGAGAATTCCTGACTTTATCTAATAGCGCACCGAATGCTTAATTAATTTACTTTACTTCACTTTAACTTATAAGCACCAGGCCATGTACAGATCCTCACAGATACATAATTAACTTACTAAATGTGTCAGTTGCTTAATTAATTTGCATTACTGTAATTTAATCTGACACGTAGCATTTACTATTACAGCATTACTCGTTACAATTTCTATGCTTAATCCAAGTAAATTTCCTTCAAACAAGAAACTTTTATTCTATCCTAAACTAGACTCGATACTAATTTAAAAAAAAAAAAATAATAACTTGACATTATTATTCTTAAACAGCTCCAAGTTAATTGATTAATTTCGATTTGGGGTTTCGGGGTGTCCCACGAAACTTCACAAACTTCACATTTGGTGAACAGGTTTTGAATGTCCTTTTTCCCTTAATTTGTTAGTGGTCTCATGCCAAAGATCTATATAAATACTATACGGAAGTCATATTATATCAAAATTGATTCCAAGGTAAAATATAATTAACCAAAGATTTGTTTAACAAAAATAACAATTTTATTAAATGTCGTCTTTCATCGACGAGCTTACATAAACGACTTTTCATTTATACCAAATGCCGCGTTCGATTTTCACTGCTTCTTATATGTTTGTTTACATAACTTAATTTACAATCAATGCAAGTGATATATCATACTACTTCCTCAGGGTGAATTATTAGGTATACTATTATATATTAGGTATATTTTTACAACCCATTTCTTACATTATAACCAACTTTTACTCACTCTACAACCCTACTTTCTTTCTTTTAACAATAAATAACCCAATATAGAATTCAGCAGAGAAACTATTAACAAACGGCTAACTCTCCTGGCACTACTACGATATACCTCAGCCGAACCTTTACCAGTGCTTCCACCGCTAAAAACGTTCAAACCAAAACATAATCTTGTTACACTACCATCTTACAAAGCTGTTCCTCCTGTTACATTTTGGTCCCAATTCCCATCAAACTATTTACAACCAGCGATCTCTTTAGTCGACCCTATTATCTTGCGGAAACTAGCCGTTGATACGGCGTTCCCTCACTCTTCTATACTGGATGACATTTGCAAAGATCTTTCATATGGAGCTGACACAGGCTGCGTCGGTCATGCCAGGTCCCCTTCCTTTTCTACTAATGCACCCAGTGCCTTCGAATTTGGCCCACATGTAACTGACGCTATCGCCGACTGGATTAAAAAAGGTTTTGCCTTTGGCCCTGTGCCCCTTGATGATATCCCTAAAGATGCTAAAATCAATGGTATTATGACTAAACCTAAACCTAATGGATCGGTTCGCATTATCCTCAACCTCAGCTCACCACTCGGCAACTGTGTTAACGAGGGCATAAACACGAACCAGTTCCCTACTGTCATGTCTTCAACTACCAAATGGCTAAGAGCTTTACATTTAGCCGGTCGTGGAGCAAAAATGTGTAAAATTGATTGGGCTGATGCCTATAAACACATAGCTGTCAGTCAAACAGATTCTAACCTGCAATGGTTCACTTGGCTTGGTATGGGATTCAAAGAACTATGCCTAATATTCGGCTGTGCAAGCAGCGCCGGCATCTTTGACAGATTAGCTAAACTTGTTGTACATATTGTCGCCACTAAATCCCGATTCCCGACCAATAGAATATGTCAACACTTAGATGACTGCTGTGCTACAGCCCCAGCCAATTCTGAAGCTCTAGAAGTTTTTGATAATACTTTCACAGCCATAGCCTCCCAAATCGGTGTAAAACTTGCACCACGTGATGACCCTGAGAAATCCTTTGCACCCAATACCAAAGGGCTCGTGCTTGGTATTGTTTACAATACCATAGACTGGACATGGGCCCTAAACAGCGAAAAGCTAGCGCGCCTGCTAAATGATATCAAACTACTACTAGATGCACAGTCTACACAACAAGTTAAAATCTGGAGCATTGTAGGCAAAATCATTAATATTCAGCCTCTTATCCCGGAGGGCAGATTTAATCTCTACCACCTCTTGGAGTTGAACTCCCTTTCTACAAATAAAACTGATGTCATCATCCTAACCGCCAATTTCAAAAAGCAATTATTCTTCTGGTTCACTATGATCAAATTATGCTCAGGTAGGGGCAAACTTATTGATCCTGATCTTAAGCTCCCCCCATGGTCTATTGAAGTCTTTACTGATGCTGCTGGCGGCTCCATGGAACGAGCTGGCCTCGGTGTTGGAGCTGTGGCTAATAGTTGGTGGGCTTACTTACCTTGGTCTAGGGTAATTAACCTCAATAAGAAACAATCAGATGGTAAATGCATTGGCAGATCCATGGCTGCCCTTGAACTTATCGGCCCACTTCTTGCAATTTCTAGTGGTTATGCCTGGACCAAAAATCAACCAATAATTTTCTGGGTTGACAATGCCGCCTCAGTATTTATCTACAAGAAAGGCTACAGTAGATCCTGCAAACTCTCCACTACCATAACCCTAGCCATTTCCAGTATAGCCTCTGGTCTTGGAAGCAGTATTCAAATATCCAAAATTCTCCGATGTTCTACTCCCCTCGCCACTATGGCTGATGCACTTTCAAAAGCAGACTTCACCAAATTTTGGTCCCTTGCTTCACAACTAGACCTAAACCTGCCTGTAAGCCAAGCTTGGGTTTCACCCGCCCTACTAGCTTGGATCCAACACCCTATCCCAGATGAATCACTGGGTGACAAAATCCTCTCAGACATTGCTAAACGCTCCCTCGTTCTTGGCTTCAACTGCTAACAGGTATCTAGGAGTGTAGGTTGCTGCGCGATTGGACTCAGCCTTGCTGGTTTGCGGTTTAGACTTTAGATTATCAGTTATCTTTCCTTTATTATAACACTTTAGATTACAGTCTACACCTTATTAGATTATTCTAGCCCTATTCTAGACTCTTACCGCAGCTTTACAACTCCTTATAACTCTATCTAGGCAAACCCTTTGGTGAGTTTCCCCCCTTTAACCTAGGTCCAGATCTAGGTGATTGGGCTAACCTCGCTCTCCTCCTCTTATTTCCTATCTCTGGACTGCACGGACGATT